AGGTGATGATGGGATACCAGATCGAAGGCTTTTTTGAAGTCAAGATATATGACATCAATCTCTTCTCCCTTGTCCAGGTGATAGGTCACTTGGTCATAAAAGGAAATGAGATTGGTCAAGCAAGACCTACCTGCAACAAACCCATGCTGTCTATCCCTCAGGATGTTGACATCGGTGAGTCCATTAAGGATGGCCTCTTTAATAAACTTTTCTAAAATCTTCTCTGGGATAGAAGTCAGGCTGATGGGCCTATAGTTTGCCAGATCCCCTTTCCTCCCTATCAATAAAAGAAGTTTGCTTGTCACTTAAAAGTTTGCAGATGGTTAGTATAAAAAAGTTTTCTGGGTTTTTAGTCATGTACTGTGGAAAATGTTCCTTTCTGGTTCCTGAAGGTGACCACTTGAAGCCTTGAAACTTGAAATTAGGTTATAGTTATTATCCTAATGCAGCATTACAGGTGTTCAGAGTTGAGTGTTGTAGGCTATCCTGTTCTCCCACAAAAGAAGGGAATAAATGTGGGACTTGTATTCATAAATTCAAATGCCATAATGGATTCCTACTATTGTTTCACCACCAGCCACCCTTCATCTATCTGTGGGCACAGGCTGTAGAACTTCTCCCAGACAATGAACTAAAGCATACATTTTAAATAGGGATCTTAACTTGTCTTAAAGACCATAAAGTTGAATCTGCTATTTCCCCATATAAGCTGTTTCCAATATTTAAGAACATAAGAATTGCCATTTACTGGGTCAGACCGTAGGTCCATCTTGTCTAGTGTCCTGTGTCACAGTGGAAGACAGTAGATGCTGAAAGGGGGAGTGAACTGGGTATGACCAGGGTTTTTTTCCCCCCCTGTTCCTCTCACTTCCAGCCTCCAGCATTACAGTCTAGGAAGTTCTAATTCATAAGTGGTATCCCTAGTTCCCATGCTCAATAACTACTGATGCCCCTTTCCTGCTTATATCTTGTTTCATGGCTAGATTTGTTTCACTTCAACTTTTGGCATTTATTTCTCGATATGGTTTTGTCAGCAAGATTAAAGAGTTCCCCATGACCTTTTCTCCACATTTACCTCCACACAGTAATCAAGTTACTGTTCAACCTTCTTTTTGATAAATTGAGAAGAATAAATTCCTCATGTCTCTAATAATAAGGTGTGTTTCCAGTCCCTAAGATCATTTTGTGGCCCTCTTTTTGAGATTTTTGATGTTTATACATCCAGTAGTGTAACCAAGGGTGGGTGAGAGGGGCACCCACCCCAGGCACCAAGTTAGGAGAGGCATCAGAATCACCCTCCATCCCCAACGGGTCCCCACCTTGGTAGTGTCAATGCCATGAACTCTGAAATGGTTGCTGGCTGCTGTTGCTGTTTAGAACTTCCTGGTGGATAAGGCCCTTCCCTGTCCTTGGAGATCTGTGCCCGACCACCTGGCTCTCAGAATCCATACCCCTGCCCGGCACCCCCTGCTCAGAACTTCCCCCCAGAACCCATGGACCATCTTCCCCCGCTGTTCTCAGAACCTGCATCCCCAACTTTTGGTACCATATTTTCTTCCCTCCCTGTTCTCTGCTGCTCTCCTGCGGAATTTGCCCTGGGCACCACCTTGGCTTGTTATACTACTGGATCCATCCTTCTTGAAGCATGGATACCAGAACTGGACATAGTATTTCAAGAATGATCTTACAGGCTGCTGAGAGATGTGAAAAAAAACAAAACAAAATGTGTTTTACCAAAAGAGGCAGTGCATTGGTTTGACCTGGGTCTGCAGTACGTGCATAGGTCATGCGTGTCAGCGGGGCTTTTTGACACTTTTATCTAATAGTTGATGCAATCAACTATTAGATTAAAGTACCAAAAAAGCCTCGCTAAAGTGCCCGGTCTATACAGATATTGGGCAAGCTGGGTCAAACTCAGATTTATGTAAAGCTGCAAGGTGGATTCCCTGCTTCTACTTGTTATTCCCCTTCTAGTATACTAAATGTTTTTTTTTGCCACAGCATTTCAACTGAGAGCCTATGTTGGGATATTATGACTTTCAGCAGCTTTTCTAAATTCCTGCTTTGCAAGAGCATATTCCATCATGTAGGTGTAGCTTATGTTCAGTGTCCCAGAGGTGTTTCCTTGCATTTGGCTGTATTAAAACACATTTGGCTGGATTGTGAGAAGACCCTATAATGTACTGTGCTGGTTATTTACTACCTCACACAAATCTTTGTGTCCCAGGCAAACTTTACCAGCAAAAGTTTTCTATCACTGTCAGGAAAGTTGATAAAAAGATTAAATAGCATCTGGATCAAAAAACAATCTTCTGGGAGCCCATTAGAAACAGTCAAGCTCCTTGATGTTCCCCCATTAACAACTACATGTTGAGATGTCCGTGAACTGATTTTTAATCCTCCTAATGTGTGCTCTCTTAGTTCCATATAATACTTGCTTTTAATCAAAATGTCATGTGGTACTAACTCAAATGCCTTGGAGAAATCCAAGCCTACTATATCAGCACAGTTTCCTCTATTGACCAGGCCTGTAATTCTGTCCAAAAAAAGAACTGGTTTGTTTGACAAGACCCAGTCATGAAACCAAGAATGCTGGCTTTACTTATATTTTTAGTTCTACTTTGTTGATTGAGCTCTGGATTAACTATTCCATTATTTTAGCTGGGACTGATATCAGACTAAATGTTCTGCAGTTTCTTGGGTCATCCATTTTATAAATAGAAAAACTGTGTTGGCAGCCTTCCAACCCACTGGAGTTTCCCATTTTCCAAGGATTGATTAAAAAAATCTCAAAGAGTTCTTCAGGTGGTTCCTTTAAGACTCTTTGTAAGTTACCTGAATTTGTTGATTTGAAAATGTTTAATTTTACCAGATGCACTTCACATCCTCCTTTTGCTACAGATATTAAACTTTCTATTCCATCCATGCCATTCTATGGAAGAGATGTACATCCTCCTGTTTAATTATCAAATACAACACACAAATACCTGTTAGCTTTTTTGCCTTTTCCATTTCATTACTTATAACTCTACTGTCTGTATCTTGCAGTAGACCTTTACGTGAGCTAGGGTTTTTACTCTTCCAAATATCTTTAAAAGTATGCTGTCTTATTACTGTAACTATTGGCCATTAATAGTCCACTGGTTCCTTTGGCTTCTCTATCAATTGCAGTATAACTTGGTGGCAGGGTATGGAGAAGGGCCTTAGGGATGCAGTTGGCATCATGCGCTTACTAGGGTTGGACTATAGCCAGGACAATCTAGTTAACATCCTGTCTATGACACAGTGCCATGGGTTCTTTAATTGGTTACAGGTGCCCAGGACCTTGGTTTCATTTTTCCTTTGACAGACTATACCACACCGCCTGCTACTACTACACAGGGGAATTAACTCGGTGCTATTGTAATGGATAGCCATGTTCATTGATTTATAAACACCACCTTTTAGGGAACCTAGGTGTTT